AAGTCTGATATTCAAGACAACCCCAGCGTCTCAGCCAGCCAGGCATCATTTGGGCCTCAGTGTGGTCTGTCGCTATCAAACCGATCTTTGGGCTCATGCGCTTATGCGTAGCCAGTTAGTTGAAGACTTCCAGACCCATAAAAACTGCTGACTGTTGCTACAATGGAATCACAAACCATAGCCAGTCTTGTTTCCCGCAAGCAGGATACCGACTGAGATTAAGAACCATGGACTGGGACCAAAGATATGTAGGGAAGATCGCAAACTATCGTTTGCGGCTTGGCGGTAACAGCAAAACGGGTGTTCGGCATGCCTGGTTCTTTGGGTCCAAGCCAAACGTTCTTAATGCATTGTCAAAAAGCAATCAGAGAGACACTGTTTTATCATTTTCAGACGTGGTCGTGTCAGTGTTGCGAAACTGATGTTATGTGACGTTATAACTGATGTCACTGATGTTATATAAGACCCTCTTGTGATTCTCTTGCAGGACTATCTGTCCCCTTCACCAAGTCTTCCCATATGTTCCCAAGGGCCAGTTTGGTGTACAGCGCGGACTCTAATCTGGGAGAGCCGGGTTTGATTCTCCACTCCTCCACATGCAGCTGCTGGCGTGACCCCCACCTACCTCACCTGTTGAGAAACACTGCCCTAGAGGATGTTATCTGGGAAAAAAATTATCAGTGCTGGACTTCACACAGGCCCAGATCTTTTATTATCTCCTGACTGATCTTGATGTGTTCTTAAGCCTCAAGTCAAGCAGCCTTTGCTAAAGCGGCTGAGAAATTAAGTAGTAAATCACCGAAAGACACAGCCATTCCTTGTGCTGAGAATTCGTGCATTCGGCCTTCGCTTCCGCAATGACCTACGCTTGATGCAAATAAACAAACTGAACTGATCGAACTGAACTGATACTACGGGAAAAGTTTAGGTGTTTGTTTGGAGAACGTCTGCGCAATGACCTATGCTTGATGCAAATAAACGAACTGATCAAACTGAACTGATACTACAGGAAAAGGTTAGGTGTTTGTTTGGAGAACGTCTGCGATGCCCCAAAAAAAGCGTTTCCTGTTTGAAATGGCTGTTAGACTGTCTATAAATACATGTAGATTTGTTATCGTAATGTTTGACTGCTAATCGCCCTCGAGAAAAGGTCGCATGGCGCGAAACACAGTAGGGGTTTTATAGAGGCGGAGGAAAGTTTTGAAAAAGTCAAATGAACACTCAGATCTTCTTGCCACTGTCCAACTCAAGCAGCTGCTGAATAGCTGTGCAGCTGCGTAGTGGTTATGGAGGTAATGTGGCTCTTTTTGTAGCAGGAACTCCTTTGCATATTAGGCCACACACCGCTAATGTAGCCAATCCTCCAAGAGCTTACAGAGCTCTTCTTACAGGAGCTACTGTAAGCTCTTGGAGGATTGGCTACATTAGGGGGGTGTCGCTTAATATGCAAATGAGTACCTGCTACAAAATGAGCCCTGTATACACCTACATTGCTCTGTGTCTAGTGGGTGAGACAGAATGGCTAGCCTGAGGCTGCTAACTGTGGTTGAGATGAGAGCTGAAGTGGTAAACTTTGAGATTACACCTTGTTCTCCTCACTGTTTTGCTACAAAATCTTGTAACACTGGGCAGCCTTGGACCGGTCACAGACTCTCAGCCTAACCTACCCTCACAGGGTTGTTCTGAGGATACGATGAAGAAGAAAGAATTAGATTTATACCTCGCCCTTCACTACCTGAGGGAGTCTCAGAGGGGCTTACTCCTTTCCCTTCCCCTCCCCACAACAGACACCCTGTAAGGCAGGCAGGGCTGAGAGAGCTCTTTCAAGGACTGCTCCTGAGAGAACAGCTCTGAAAGAACTTGTAACTGACCCAAGGCCACACCAGCAGCTGCATGTGGAGGAGTGGGGAATCAAACCCGGTTCTCCCAGATTAGAGTCCGCGCTCCTAACCACTACCACTACACCAAATGGATGACAGAAGAAGGATGTGAGCCGTTTTGGATCCCCATGGGGGGGAAAAGCAAAGTATAACTGAAGTAAATAAATTAAAATAAATAACAAAGACAAGGTAGGGTACTTCTCTGCAGCACAGTAGTTTTTCTATGGGCAGCAAATGAAGATCTTCTCTTATTTATTCTGGGACTGGAACACCCCTATAAAGCTTTCGCTCCACAGTCACTTCAGAATAATCGTTATCTTATCACAATGACGACACACGATTCTACCAAGACTATTCTAATCAAACATTCAAAAATGGAAGACCTCTTGCGAGAAGGCGAGGAGAGTTTCTCATGCATGTGTATCCCGTGGCCAGGCGGACGAGCCGGTTCTTCTTCCACTATGTCACCCCAAGAGTTATTCTGACGCCATGATTCACGAGCTGCACGTGAAAAAGATCACGTTAATAAAAGTTAGGCTCCAACCACGTATCTACCGATGCACAAACTGAGAGGGAGGGCTATTACGGACTTTCTAAGCAATTCCTGATTAATATGGATTATAATTGAGTAAAAAAAATTGTTAAGCAAAGAATCATGGGAGTTGAAAGGCAACATGATTTGGACTTCATAAAGCGACATCTGCCAGGAAGGGTGGGACTAAATAAGGTAACACCAGGGCTATTTTTGGGCAGGAACGCACAGGAACGGAGTTCCCACTGGCTCCTGAGTTGGCCACGCCCAGCAGGAACTCATTAGCATAATAGGCCACACCCAACAGCAGGAACTCATTAGGATTGGCTACATTAGGGGTGTGTGGCCTAACATGCAAAGGAGTTCCTTCTACAAAAAAGCTCTGGGTTTGGACAACAAACAAGGTAAACAGAATAACAAGCAAAAGGTGGGTGTGGCTGGATGACCACACTTTAAATAAGGTAATACCAATGGTATATCTACAAAACTTAGATAAACCTGACTATAGAAGAGCATTTACCCTGCTCAGAGCCGATATGCTTCCATCTGCAGTTTTAGAAAGCAAATACAAAAGACAACCTTATGAGGGAAGATTGTGTATCAGTGGAGAGGGGAAGGTAGAAACGAGGGAACATGTGCAGTTCGAATGTAAAATGTATCAAAATATTAGAGACATTTACATAACCCCGACTTGTTCTCGATTTCCTGGGAGAAATGAAAGATTTTACCTAGATAAGTTGCTGGCTGACAAAGAGCAGGAAACTACTTTAAACATGGCAAAATTTGCCATGCAGGCAATCAAAATCCGGAGACAAGCTATTAGCAGTTAGATAGTGAATATTGTACTTAAATAGAGTTTTTTAATTATCTAATAATATTTTAATTTTATTCCTAACATTTTAATGTTTGATATTCTGGATAGCGTCTGTATGCATTTTACTGTTTTACCGGCTGATGTCTTTTTGGTTCTTTTACGTATTTGGTCAATGACCGTACTATTAAATTGATTGATTGAGAGGGAGGATAAGAACGCTCTTCTAAGCATGTTTTGGGTGGGTGGGAGGAATAGGACTTCTCAAGACTTGAGATCCAATGGCGTTATTCCCTATTTCTATACGAAAATGTTTACCTTCATAATCTGCTAGGACGTCATTCCAGTCCATGGAAATGCCACAGAAAGATATGGTTCCACTGCCCATGCTGGCCTAAAATTACACAATGTGGAACGGAAACCGGAAACAGAACATTAGAAGCCTGAAGTTTAAACCTACAACTCCACACACACGATGAACAGTGACCAGAATAATTAATATAGGGAAGTGACTCCCCAATGTGACACCAACCAACAGGTCTCCTGATGCCCATTCAGCAAACTGTCACTTCCCCAAAACAAAGAGCAAATGCTGGGCTATCCTTCAACCCTCAACGAAGCAAGAGCCTTTGGGTCTGTAGGGCATGCCATTTCAAAAGAGTGTCCCCAGCAGAGGAAGATGCTTGGCTTGCAATCGCCTAATGTTTTGTAATGCCCTCTGTGGCAGCCATTTTGTGACTGGTCCTGTCTCCCACAGCAGCCATTTTGTGATGGCACCTTTTGTGAGGGCCCTCAATATACAGTAGTAGGCTTAAAAAATCTGGCACGTGATAATCTCTCTCTTTTCCATCTTGTCCTACTTTGAAAAATGGCAGTTGATCATAGCGTGCCTCATAATATACACGAACCAATCAAACTGTGGTGCTTTGAAGTCCCACAGTTTCCAACAGAAAAGCTTTAGACACATTGTCAACTCCCACTTATGCAAATGGGACTTATGAATGTGGTGGTATTCTGAACACTTCTGATGTGTCATGATGCGTACCAGCCAATCCAATCAAAGCATCTGTATTATAGCTGGCATATTTCTGTTACCTGAGGAAGTGAACTTTGGCTCATGACAGCTCATATCAAAATGAATATTGATAGTCTTGAAGGTGCTAGTGGATTTTTTTTGTTTTATTTTTCTAGGACATGCTAACTCCCCAGCAACCATACTCCAGTTTATACATATATTCTAGCTACTGCACTGCTATTTTGTACCTCAGGAACATGACAAACACGTTTCCTGTCAGATTCTGACTTTGCTTTGGAAACACAGAGGAATTTCAGACAGGCGATATATTCCAGAAGAGGAACGGTTCCCAAACGCTTTCTGGTCTGTCATTTCAGACAGAACTGTATGAGAACTGGTTCCCTTCCGGAATATGTTTGTCATTTCATACACAATTGCTTCTGTCCTGTTTAGGAAAGGGGGCTGAAGCGTTTTACCTGTCAACCGCTTCCAAGTATTCCTCAGTTTCCTCTCCCGGTTCCGATGCGCTTTTCCCCGCCATTTTTCGCCCGCACGGGCAATCTCCGCCCTTTTTTTTGGGAAGTTTGCTTTATAGCGCTATAACGCTATAACACTATAACGGAATAGCATTATATCGATCCCATTGGAACTCATGGGGTGTTTTGTTATACTGCTATAGCACTATAGCGCTCTAAAGTGAACGTTAAAAAAAAAAAGCCGGAGATCACCCGCACAGGCGAAAAACGGTGGGGGGAAAGCGGGAAAAAGCTGTGCAGTCTGAAATGGCAAACCACTTCAGATCCAGCTCTTTACCGGAAGGGGAAAGCCATGTGTGAAATGGCAGCCCTATACCGGTTCACTTCAAAACGGATCATTACCGGCTTGAAACCGGGTGAAACTGGGTAATGTGAAATTCCCCACAGAGTCAAGGTTCATACTACTGTACTGCCATTTTGCACCTCAGGAACACAACAAAAATGTACGTTTCCTGTCAGATTCTGACTTTGCCTTGGAAACATGAATTCAAGGTTTATACAGATGTTCTCGCTATTGCGCTGCCATTTTGTGCCTCAGGAACACGACAAAAACTTGTTTCCTATCAAGTTCTGACTTTGCCCTGGAAACACAAATTCAACAGTTATTCAATTCAAAACAAAATTGGCAACTCAACAGAGAAGTCGCTGTCATTGTCTGTTTCAATGTCGTTGTTCTCCTCAGCTTCGATCTCTCTGGTCAGCTGCTCTTCCTCAGCAATGGCGCTGGCAATGGCTTCTTCATTGGCCTTCTCCAGGCGATCGGCTAATTCCTCCTTCTTCGCGAGAACCTCTGCCATCGACTAGAAAAACCGAAAGTGAGAATTGGACTGAGAAGCTGGAAGTACGTTATCGCTGTGGGATCACATAATTTTTATACGATAATGTTCTTTTTCAACCAATTGAATCTTTGAGGATTAATTAAGTCTAGGTAATTGCCTCTAGGGTTTTTTTGGGCAGGGGGCTTTAGTTACTTCATGCTTGTAAATATCTCCTTGCTTCATAACCTGTCTGTGGTAGTATTGACACAAGGGACAGAAGCACTACAAAAACACATACTAATACACGGGTCCCCAATACAGTACCCGTGGGAATCATGGTGCCCATCAAGTGTTTTCAGAAAGTGGGCAAGGCTAGGTGGGGCTTCTCCCAACAAGGTTTCTCACTGGCTGTGCAGCTTTTAAAAAAGCTTTGGCAGCAACTGCCACCACATCACAACAGTCTTCACTGTGTGACTGAAGGTAAAGGCTAGGCGGGGCTTCTCCCAACAAGGTTTCTCATTGGCTGTGCAGCTTCTAAAAAAGCTTTGGCAGCAACTGCCACCATATCACAACAGTTTTCACTGTGTGACTGAAGGTAACCTGTGGTGGCTATTTTGTGACTGGCTCCACCATCTGCGGCAGCCATTTTGTGGCAGTGCCCACCATGCTGCGTAGGAAGGGTTGCCAAAAAGAGGGGGGGGGGGGGGAAGAGACAGCAGGCCTGCCCATCTTGTCTATATCCCATGTTGTAATCAGTTCACTTTGGCCTACCACGCTCAGTCTGAGCCACAGAAAACTGACCCAACCTCCAATGGGTCAATGCTCTGTTCCTCCGTAACACAGAATCATGACCAAATGTCAAATCTGGCAAAACGCGTTCGGAATCTCAAGTGCTCTTGACAACGTGCTAGCGCTCACGTTGGAAATATCAGCGGGGTCCATTTCGTTCTCCATCTTGTTTCTTTCTGTTTGAGTCTCCTCGTCACTACGGGAAGTGGCAGAGATGATTGTGTCCGCTTGTGGATTTTTCGCAACGTGTTCGGTGTCAATGAGAACCACAGGCACGTCAGATGATGACTGCAGAGAACCCTCTTGTGAGCCTTTGTTGTCAGAGATCTTGATGTCCTCTAGTACACGGCCTGTGAACTAAGACAAGACACGTGTGGGGTTAATCCTCCGCTCTGGAGCCCCTGCCTGCAGTGCCAATCAGCTGGTCCGAGGGGGGCCTGCGACTCTGTTGCTAACGACGCCACTTCCGGCTTGCGACAGAAGTGATGTCATCACATCACTGGCAATGCGTGGACGCTTTGGTATCGGGACAAAAACTCTGTGGTAAAAATGGCTTCAACCACAGAGTTTTTGCCCGAACACCAGAGCGTCCCCATGTCGCCAGTGACTTGATAATGTCACTTCTGGTGTGCACCGGCAGCGACATCACTGAGTTGCTGGCAACAAAGGCCTAGGCCTTAGCTTGCTGCCGGAAGCCCCCCACCCCACCCTTGCTGGTTGCCAGGGGATACCTGTCACAAAACTACCACAAAGCTTTCACAGAGGCCTTGACCCCTAGGCCTGCTTGGTGGCCCTTCAGAGGAAATGGTTTGAAACAGGATGCTGGACTAGATGGACCACTGGTCTGATCCAGCAGGGCTCTTCTGATGTTCACTCTCCCAGTTCTTCCTTAATCTCCCTCTCCCCCAACACTTATTTAGACTATTTCACTTTTATTTCAGCTCTGCCTACACCCGTCTTTCCCAGAATGCTCCCCTTCAGACCCACTGGAAGATCAAGCACATTCTGCCTGGCCATAAATTTGCCCTGTTTAACAGAAAGTTTTCCTTCAATGACTTCTAGATGCCCTTCTTAAATATAAACCAAGGGAATCTAATGCCCAATAAATCCTTTACAACGTAATGCTCCAGAAGCAATGCAGTGATATTTAGCTATAGCGCATTTAAAACTATATAGCTCATAAAAATATTCATTTGCCTTCTCTAATAATACCCAATAAAAACCCTTTAGAAAGAGCAGGACTTCAAAACCAGCACATTAAAATTTAACTTCCAGGTCAGAACCAGGACTTGTTAAAAAAGGAAGGTTGACAAAAATAATTTATAAGACAGTGTGATGGGATATTTATTTTGTGAAGGCCTACTTACACTGGGCCTCTACTCATATGCAAAGTAAAATACATTTTCAAGAGCAGAATGAAGGAAAACCATGTCATTGTTTCAAGGAGTATACTCAAAAACTTTTTAAAAACGACTGGAGCAGATTCAATGGATGTATGGCTAACACAGCTCTTTCTAGCCGGGCTCAAACACAAAAGGTTTGAAGATAAACTGTCATACTTTCATTTTAGCTCTTCACATGTTAAAGTGACCTAGGGTTGCCAGCTCCGAGTCAGGAAATACCTGGAGATTTTGGGGGTGGAACCTGCAGAGGGTGGGATCTGGGGAGGGGAGCGACTTCGGGTACAAATAGGTATCAAGAAACTGTTGGAGGTGCAAAAATAACATACGTACATTCTTCCACATGTGGTGGCGGTGCGAGAAAATTTATAAATGTTGGAAAGACATTAAACAGCTAATATTAGAGATTATGGATATAGATTTACATTTGTTACCAGAAATTTATTTGCTAAATATAATACCAGAAGGGTTTGGGCGTGATGATACATGTATTTTGTCATATATCCTTACCGCAGCCAGAATTCTTGTTGCTAAACGTTGGAAGGCAGAGAAACTACCCACTAGAGAAGAGTTGGTTACTAAAATATCTGAACTTGCAGAAATGGATAAATTGAATATGATACTTTCAGGAAAAGATGGAAAAGCTTTTCAAAAAAGATGGTATAGAGTTAACGAATGGTTTGGAAAGAATGTTTAACGTAAACTCCAAAAAAATAGTTATGTACTGTATTTTTGTTTTTGTAACATAGGTAAAGGTAAAGGTTCCCTTGCTCGAAAGCCAGTCGAATCCGACTCTAGGGTTGCGGTGCTCATATCCGCAGCTTCTTTTTGTAACATAAAAACCTACAAATAAATTCAGTTAAAAAAAACACAACTTTGGAATTTTAAAAAACGAGTGGAGCAGATTCAATGGATGTATGGCTAACACAGCTCTTTCTAGCCAGGCTCAAACACAAAAGGTTTGAAGATAAATTGTCACACTTCCATTTTAGTTCTTCACCTACGGCTGCCAGCTCCGAGTCAGGAAATACCTGGAGATTTTGGGGGTGGAACCTGCGGAGGGTGGGGTTTGGGGAGGGGAGGGACTTCAATCGGTTATAATGCCATAGAGTCCACCTTCCAATGTGGCCATTTTCTCCAGGTGAACTGATCTCTGTTGTAACAGCGGACGATCTCCAGCCACCACCTGGAAGTTGGCAAACCTACAGTGAACGCAGGGACATCCTGCATGCACGTGTGTACACCTGTCTGTAAGAACCAGCCGACATGCATTCGCTTTACAAACGAACCTGGGAATCGACATCGGGGAAAACGTGCAGTTTTGATCACACGTTTAGCCGTATGTGGGTTGGACGTAACATGAGAATGACTCAACGCACAAATGAAGGCAAATCAAGTATACGCCATACACAGATTGTATGTGCATTCTAGGGTTGCTAAGTTGATTTTTCTTACCGGTGGGGGAGCCTTGCTGGGCCCCAGAAGCTGTCCGTTGATGCGTGCACGTGCGCGCCGCCAGCATGTCACCGGAAGTGACGCGCGATGTCGAACACGTTGAGGGCGTGGCCCCGATCATCGGAGGGAAAACCATAGAGTTTTCCCTCCGGCGATCGGGGCCATGCCCCCAACATGATTGCTGTGGTTGTGTCACCTCTGGTGACGCAGCCACGCTACGCTTCGGGGGGCGGAGTTCCCCCCCCGGGGCCCGATTCCGCAGCGGCAGAAATCGGGCCTCCGAAGCAGGGGTTTACCCCCACCCCCACCCCCACTTGGCAGCCTAGTGCATTCCCTGTAACTTGTGAATGGGGCTTTGCCTTCCACAAGCTTCCCTGAGCAGGTTCTGTCTATGCATTTGAAAGACACAGTTGATAGCTGAACAGGGTGACGGCTGCTGGGGGACTCCTAGCCATCCTCAGCATGAGACTGACTGTACAACCCATTTATGCTTGTGCCAGCTAGAACTGCGAATGCAGAGAGAGAGAGAGAGAGAGAGAGAGAGAGAGAGAGAGAGAGAGACTTAAATCATTTAGTAATGGGGGAAGCTGTGTGGATGGAAGCCAAGAGGGCTCCATATTGTTAAATCTCCCCCCTTGCTTTTGGAATGTTTATATGTTTATAATGTTGTCACTGCCACTGATGGGGCGGGGAGAAGAATCAATAGAGTGCTGTTCCCTCCCAAAATCAATCCTCATGCTCGCCAGATAATATTGGTAAAGACATCAACGCATTTACTGCTGGAGGAAATGTCCTCGCAGAAATGGAAACATCTACAACGCATTGTTTCGGCAGTTACCGTAACAACTCGATGATAATTGTCGGAATCTAACGGTCATGCACATTCTGCTGCCTAAATTTTACTTAAGTACATCTCCAACAGGGCCTTCAATTTGTATAGCTAGATGTCATACAATGGTCTTGGGATAGTACTTTAGACCAGTGGTACCCAAAGTTTTTGAGCCTGCGGGCGCCACTGGAATTCCAGCAGTGCGGTGGGCGCGGACAAAAAAATGGCTGCCGCAGGACGAAGAGGAAGAAAAGATTGGATTTATACCCCGCCCTTCATTCGGAGTCTCAGAGCAGTTTACAGTCTCCTATCCTCTCCCCCCCCCCGCAACGAACACCCTGTGGGGTAGGTGGGGCTGAGAGAGTTGTTTGAAAACTGCTCCTGAGAGAACAGCTCTGAGAGAACTTGCAACTGACACAAGGTCACACCAGTGGCTGCATGTGGAGGAGTGGGGAATCAAACCCGGTTCTCCCAGATTAGAGTCCGCGCTCTTCACAGCTACACCAGACTGGAGGTGGAGCCGGCCACAAAATAGCTACCATAGCTTAACTTCAGTCACATAGCGACAGGTGTTAGCGGCTGCAAAAGCCATGTTTTTAAAAATCTGCACAGCCAATCAAATCTGGCACCAGAAATATTGCTTCTGAGTCTTAAAATGGAAGAAGTGAACGTAACAAAAAGAACATTGCTATGGTATTTGATTACAATGGCCAGAATGACTTATGCCCAAAGTTGGAAGATGACAAGAAAACTAAATAATAAAGAAGACGAAGAAAGCCCCACCTGGCCCTGCCCATTTCCTAAAAGAACCTGGCAGGTGCCGGAAAAGGGGTCGGCAGGGGCCATGGCTCCCATGCGCACCACGTTGGGGACCCACACTTCGGCCCCACTGAAAGTAACCCAGAATGTTGAAAACCATTCACACGGTCAACGTGAAATATTAGTTCAAATGTTACATAGTTTTAAAATGCAAAGCCCAGAGAAATCTCACTTACTTGAGTCCTTTCTGCAAGAGGGTGCTCATACAAGGAGCCAGACTCTTTCAGGATGGGGTCTACGTTTTTAGATACGGCGTCTTCAGTCAACGGACCCTGCTGCTTCTTCTGCGCCAGCCGGAGGATGACGTTCTCTTTGTTGCTGTCATCTTGCAACTTGGACAGTTCCGTGGACGAAACTGTTTTCACTGCCAGAGTGGAGGATTTGGATCTCACCGGCCTCCCGCGCTGGACCGTTTCCCAACCTTCGGCATCCTTTCGTTCTGTGCCAGGTTGTCAAAAAGCCAAGACATTGCAAACCTGATTCAGTACAGCTATTTATACATGGACAGGACGCACCATTGTATCTTGCTTTAGAACTATTACAGATTATTAAAGCATAAAGATCTTACGGTGCAAGTTTGGATGCAGAGTCTGCTCTCCGTGTTAACCAGCCTGCCAGTTAAGCTCCGCCTCTCAAGCCTTGTTCTCTGTGCCCCGCCTTCAGAGGTGACGGGGCATTTTCTGTGGTGGCACCACACCTCTGGAGTGTCCTCCCCCTGGAGGCTTGCTTGGGACTTACCTTTTTCTTTTAGCCACTGGGCCAAACCCCGCCTTTTTACTCAGGCTTTTAACTACCCGCTTTTCTAAGGCTTTTAACGAGAGGGTTTCTCTTACCAGCTTCTTAAAACGTCCACTACTGCTTTATGGATAGTTTTTTATGCTGCTTATGTCCAATGGATAATTTTAACGGCTTGTTTTAAAGAACATAAGAACATAAGAGAAGCCAGTGTTGGATCAGGCCAGTGGCCCATCCAGTCCAACACTCTGTCACACAGTGGCCAAAAATACCAGATGCCATCAGGAGGTCCAGCAGTGGGGCCAGGACACCAGAAGCCCTCCCACTGTTGCCCCCCTCCCCAAGCACCAAGAGCATCACTTGCCCCCTATTACAGATTATTCAAGCAAAAAGATCTTACGGTGCAAGTTTGGATGCGGAGTCTCCTCCCCGTGTTAACCAGCCTGCCAGTTAAGCTCCGCCTCTCAAGCCTTGTTCTCTGTGCCCCGCCTTCAGAGGTGACGGGGCATTTTCTGTGGTGGCACCACACCTCTGGAGTGTCCTCCCCCTGGAGGCTTGCTTGGGACTTACCTTTTTCTTTTAGCCACTGGGCCAAACCCCGCCATTTTACTCAGGCTTTTAACTACCCGCTTTTCTAAGGCTTTTAACGAGAGGGTTTCTCTTACCAGCTTCTTAAAACGTCCACTACTGCTTTATGGATAGTTTTTTATGCTGCTTATGTCCAATGGATAATTTTAACGGCTTGTTTTTAAGAACATAAGAACATAAGAGAAGCCAGTGTTGGATCAGGCCAGTGGCCCATCCAGTCCAACACTCTGTCACACAGTGGCCAAAAATACCAGATGCCATCAGGAGGTCCAGCAGTGGGGCCAGGACACCAGAAGCCCTCCCACTGTTGCCCCCCTCCCCAAGCACCAAGAGCATCACTTGCCCCAGCCTGAGAGTTCCCATCTATACCTTGTGGCTAATAGCCACTGATGGACCTCTGCTCTTACTCCCAAGTCCAGTTACCTTTATTGGCATGTAACCCTTGCAAACCCATATACAAAAAAACCAGCAACAACAACCACCACAGCATAGAATAATACTTGCAAAAGCTCTGCTCTTAAGAACATAAGAGAAGCCAATGTTGGATCAGGCCAGTGGCCCATCCAGTCCAACACTCTGTCACACACTGGCCAAAAATACCCGGTGCCATCAGGAGGTCTACCAGTGGGGCCAGCATAGGCGTCAACTTCAGGCTGTTGCCCCCCCCCCAAGCACCAAGAGCATCACTTGCCCCAGCCTGAGAGTTCCTATCTAGACCTTGTGGCTAATAGCCACTGATGGACCGCCGCTCCATAGGTTTATCCAATTCCCTCTTGAAGCCGTCCGTGCTTGTAGCCGCCACCACCTCCTGTGGCCATGAATTCCACGTGTTAACCACTCTTTTAAATGGGTTGTGTTGCAATTGTAAGCCATCTCGAGCAGGATTCCGAAGAGGAGGCATTTTTTAAAATTTCGCTGTCGGGTCACAGCCGGCTTATGGCGACCCCGCAGGGTGTTCAAGGCAACAGACGTTCAGAGGTGGTTTGCCATTGCCCGACCCTGGTATTCCTTGGAAGTCTCCCATCCAAATTCTAGCCAGGGCCGACCCTGCTTAGCGGGGTATAGAGCCAATAAATAAATAAATTCCAAGATCTGATGAGATCAAGCTACCCTGGGGCTGTCCAGGTCAGGCCTTCATTTACTTTCTATTGATCAAAAGGGGAAGAAGAGATTGGATTTATACCCCACCCTTCACTCACAGAATAGTTTACAATCTCCTTTCCCTTCCCCTTCCTCACAA